TCCACAAATTGCCACCTACTGCAGTTATCTTTATCAGCACTTTTTACGCGTGAATTATCAAATATACATTTGGCTGAACAGTCTTAACCCAAAACCGTCTCTACCAGATCCTCTGGAAAATGGTTGGAAAATTGTTGGGAATAATTTTGTTCCAGTGCTTACAACGAAACCATCAATGCCTGCAGCTGATACATCTATTTTGGCTAAATGTAACTGCAGAAAAGGTTTTTGTTAATTACATTTTGACTTTGTATTATTTTACATATCTTTATTTTTTAGGATGTTCCAGATTTCATTGTTCGTGGTCAAAAAAGCAATTACCGTGCCTTGGCTCCTGTAAATGTATGGGACGGAAGCCCACTTGCAAAAATTCTTTCACGAAAAACTCTCAAGAAACATCCGAATCGGAACTAGATTCTGATTAAGTATTTACGTTAATGTTAAATAATTATATAGTATAAAATTTGCATCTAAAAAAATAAACAGTTAACTGGGATATTTAATATCCAGAAGGTTTTTAATATACACAAGCAGGGAGATACGCGACTTTCTGCCTTATAAACCGCGTGTATGCATATGCGCAAGCGATAATCGTCCTTACTCAGTCATATGCGCGCGTTTATAAATAAATCGATACAAAACTTTTCGGTAATGTGAAGTGAATTAAAAATAGTGGTTCAGAATGTCCAGAATACGCTCTACAACGTTATTAATGAATATTTTTTCATCAGGATGCAAATAAATTAGATACGACGGGTTGAAGCGCTAATTTGTCAAAATATTACGGTCGAGTTCGTTAGACGCCGGCGAAAGTTAAGATTCCTCATTTAATCCCGTGCTTTTCGGTCGTAAAAAACACTAAATAATAAATAGTTGTATCGGTTTCACATACCTGAGCTATGGGCAGTGCAAAGTATATATTAAATAAATTCAAAATATGCAAAAAAAAAATTGGGGTGTTTTTTACAATTTACCCTCTAGAGCCACCCCGTACAGGACGATTTTTGACGCCTTCTGGATTTTGATATTTCTAATGATCATGCATCATTTAAAATTGGTTTCAGCTTTTAACCCCGAAGTGTAAACGAAAATCATTTCTAAACGACTTTGGCGATTCTGTGCCCTCTACTATAGTGGTAATTCCTGAAAAGTGGCAAGTTTTTCTGTTTGAAAATTAAAAAAAAGATTTACTCGAATCAGGTTGAGTTAACTGGAATATTCGCTGAAGAGGGGTCTGGACTTGTTGCACTGGTGGCATTGTCGTGGAGCAACAAGACAATCTAAAATTGTCGTGCCTTTTATACGCGGACCTACTACCGAAGTGCACAAAAAACTCAATTTGTGCGTCACTTTCTACTTGGCAAGTTTGTAGGGAAACACAGTAAATGCATTATCCACGGCAGCGCGCCGAACGCGATTATTTAAACTTAGTTTTAAAAACGAGTGCGCATGCATTGTCGGAAGAGCACCGATCTGCAGCGCAACGAAGCGGGCCTTTTTTCTGCTTCTTCGCATAAGCCGGAAATCAGATCATCAGATGACAATATTATTAAATTGAAGATTAGGAACGCATATGACAGAGGGTTTGCGCCGCGTCGTTTCGGTCTAGCGCGCTAATATTGTGCGTATAGGCACTGGTAATGCGCTCCACGCATGCGCTTCGCTTCTAGTGAGCGCTTGTAGGGCCTTTTAAAGATTTTTTTTCTACAACTTGTCCAAAAAACCTGTCATTTTTCTGACGGAATTTCGAAACGGCGAAGACTAGATTTTATCGGTTAATAATAAGTTTAAGGTTTTGCTCTGACAACGTGCGGAAATCGTCACAGTGAAAAAAAGTATTTCGCTTCACGGGACAAAGTTGAACTTACAGCAATTAATTAACCAATCGGTTTCAGTTGTAGAAAAATATTGTAATATAACGCTTAGCGCAAGTTATTTCGCGCATTTGACTGATAATTTTAACTCGGCTTCGCCTCGTTTCAAAATACCTGTCAGTCTCAAATGCTGGCGAATTGAACTTCGCGCTTTTGTTCATATAAAATAACTATTTTGTCATATTTACAAAATTGCTGGTATGGGAAATGTTATACGTATGCCGCTTCATAATGAAATAGAACAGGACTAATATTCGAGAAAGAAAGTACTTTAAGATAATAATAATAATAACCTTATTATCCTGCCTACGATCAGCACAATTCTGTTTTTCCTAACCAGCTCAAAAGAAGTGATATACAAAAAACAATTAAATGAAGAATAGAAATTAGTTACAATAAACAATAAACAATGCAAAAAGGAATTCGTCTTACAGAGAATAACAAACCTTTTTTTGTATATGAAACAAGGAGTTCGAGTAGATAAAAGTTGAAACGTCACAGTCACAGATCAAGAAAAAGGGGATCGTATATTATTAACATTCAGCGAAGTATTTAAGTAAAAATCTGGTGGGAAAGCGGATTCTTACTGACATTTTTGACAAGACTCTATGCCGGTCGAGCGCTATTTTTTTCGATCAAATTGACGTATTGCGAACGCGAAAGATCTAACAGATCGCGCAAAACTTCATTATGAATGAAAGTTCGAACTGAAACCCGTATAACCGCAGTGTGTAGGGGAATCGTTGTACTCACAACTGGAGACCGTGTCACCATTTTTAACAAGTTTAAAGGACGGGGGTCCCTTCTAAATTCGCTACGTAGGAGTAAATTAATAATACGTGGCTGGTTTATAAAGAAATAGAACTTGTTTGCGTGAAAGAGACGATCGGACGGCTGCTATAATTTTCAAACGTGAATAGTGGGAAGCGTTGCCGCATTATTCCGTTTCGGTGCCTATTTGGATTGAGGTGTTTAAATAAATTGTTACTACGAAAGCGTTCCGAGGTGCAAAACATTGTTGTGCTTGATTTCTGTTTGCTAGTTTCTATTTGCTGTTACAAGGATACATTTTTTTTATTTTGTATAAATGCCATTTTGGCTAGTAGTTATTTTTATAACATAATATATTCAAACAAGTCAATTTGTATGGGTATTTATTTGAGGGCGGTCAAACCGGACCATCAGTTTTTTGAGTTTCAGATTATAGGAGGAGATAAAGAACAAACAGCAAGGTAAGAGTAAGTAAAGGTTTATTTATTACTGAGCTAGCCGTGGTATTAATTATTTCATGTAAGTGTACAGTATACCATGGATTGTTACTGTTAACAGAAACGTTAAAAACCTTTACAAAGATTTCAAAACCTTGCAAGAATAAAGGACATCGGACGATACGAACCCTCTATAAGAGAATGTTGAATGAACCAATTTTGAGTATTTTACGTGACCCAATGAGCACATACTGTGCGCACAAATCGGCACAAGAGGACGTAGGTTTTAACTGGCTTCGAGAATGAAAACAAAGCAGTGTTACACCCCTACCGAAAATTTTTGTCTTCTCTGAAATAAAGGGCACACAAAATATGGAAAATGACTCACGTACAGATAGCACAATAAAAGCACGAAGACAAATAATATGTATCATATCGAGGATCAAAGTTGTTACGTACATTATGTTAGAACACAAGGCAGAAAACCCTGACACTCATTATACCGGGTGATCTAAAATGTATGCAAATATTTTATACGAGCGACTAAGCGTAAAATGGTTTATTTATTAGGTATGCTTGTATCAGGTTTCCATGACTTAAAGTAACTTTTAACATGACACGCATGTTCACGCTTGTCCTCACACAGCTACCTCATCACTGAAATTAAAACTCGGTTTTTATATGTTAGCAAGTTAGTATAAAATTTTGATTTTTCCAGTAACAAAGGCGTAAAAGGCTTAGGATTGGTGCACAAAGTTCCGTAGAGTTGCTATAAATTGATTCAATTGTGTGAATTTATAATATACCTGTTATAAGTTGGTTTTGATTAGTTTTGGCAAGAACGACGTTGGTTTCTATTTAGTACAGATCTTATCGCAAAATCAAAATTGTCCAGGATTACTTCACATTTCCCGTGACATTTTGCTTGAATTGTTAGTTCAGAGGTGATTTGCGTTGGCGAATTTATGTATATAATTCTATTAACAATTCAGATAAATTTTGGCGAAGTGTGAGTTTTCCCGGACAAATTTCAATTTTTATACCAATGAAGGGGAACACAAACGAGAAACTAACGCAATCTTAGAACGCAACTTTATCGAAAATCACCTCTGAACAAACAATTCAAGCAAATGTCACAGGAAATGTGAAGCACGCCCGGACAATTTAGATTTTACTATAACAATAATACCAAAGAGAAGCTAACGCCTCTTGCTACAACTAACGAAAACCAACTAAAAACTAACAGCTATAATACATTGTAAATTAAAACAACTGGTTCAACTTCCAGGAGTAACTTCAGGGACCTTTATTCCAGAGATGCATACATGGTACACCTGTTGAATGCATCATAAAGGAAGACCATTAAACCTACCAGAACAGGTCGTATAACTTGGTGCCAAGTTTGTTCGTTCTTTTGCTGATGATAACGCTTTTGTGTAGAAATACGTTCGTTTGATTAAGGTTTTATGCGCGCCACCTGAACTATTATGGAACTATTTATTTCAGTTTTCACGACAACTCCTCTAGATACAGACAAAATTTTCAAAATTGTAAATTCTAACAAATCATCCAGTAGAACGGTAACTTTACGTTGACTACCAACGGCGGGAAGTTTCGTAAATTTGGCAGTGAATGCTAAACTTGTTTGATGAGTCGATAAATTGAAACTTTACCAAGAAGTCAGGAAAATTGTGCATATCGAAGAAAACCGGTACTAGGGTCAACTACAATCATGTTAATTAAAGAGGCATGAACATGAACAGGTTTGAATGTCAATGACCACCGAAAGAATATAATTCATTTACATTGTACTTTAAATCACCTTATCAAGCGTGCAATTTTTTACAAAATCTAATTTTAAAAACTATTTACAAAGTAATAACGCATAAAATAATCGATTAAAATGATGTTGTTTTGGTTTACCTATCTAAATTGGACAACATTAGAATTTTAAAGTTGCATATCGACGCCTTTTAACAATTAGGTACCTACGACTTTGAACCGTTTGACATTGTTGAGTTCATCCAGTTTCAATGCTGTGCTGACAGTTGTTTATAAGAAGCTCGTTGTGAAGCAGTTGGATTGGATAAAGTGAAAATTTGTATAAACTACCGTGTTGCTAAACGAAATTGTTTAGTTATTAGTGGGTAGTGCCGAAAATGGCACTATTACAACAAAAGAATTTTCTGTACCAGTGCGTGCTCTTCTTTTTGCTTATATGTCTCATTGAGGTAAGTGACTTTGTATAGTTTAATGCAAATCAGATGCATATTTTACAACGACGTGATCAGAATACCCGTTACTGATTAAACCTCTTTTTATCCACTCGGTGGAGAATTCTTTTGATGACACAAATCCGTTATACTTTCTAGGAAAAGTTGTGGCATCCGGATGAAGGGATTGTTGTCATTTGCGAAATTAGTATGGAAAACACTAAACATACCGACAAAATTTCCATTGCATTGCACCTTCTTAGTGTTGGTGTAATGTTTATACAAAGAATAAGGAACATGTGTATGTACTCCTTTATGTTCAGTTGACAGTTCGTGTGTTACAACTTTGTTAGCGGCCACTCTACGCCATAAATTAGTAGGTAGGTAGTAAAGGACAACGGATGGTACAGGTACAGTAGGTATTCAAAATATTTCATATAAAGGAATATTGAACAATTAAACAAATGATGTTTGAATGAAATGTAGAACATTGGAATTGCGGTAACAAATTTATTCCAATTTGAATTTCGAGGGGAACTGAATCAAAAGGCAGCTAGCAATTATACCTATTTGTGTCCTGGATTGTGTTATTCAGTTCTGCAGCCCTACTTCCATTTAATAGAGAGCGAGAGTAGATGCCGAAGAGAGTAAAAAATCAAAATTAATTTTATTTGTAAATAAACTTGTAACAAATATATAGACCGAGAGCATTGAATAACGAAATTTTTCACTCAACGCCGAGAGCTCGCGTGAAAAATACCTACCTCCTCATGAGGTAGAAAATGTTAACTATAATTATACGATTCTGCAATGTTAATGACATGTATAGACGCCCGTCTGCCATCCCTAAAGTGGACGTTCTAATGCGGGGCAGCGTTTGAAAATAGCGAAATAAACATATACTTACCTCGTTTTGGGTACAATGTTTGTTTTTTTGGAAATGAAGATCGGAAAATATGGAAAAATAAGGAATCGCCATAGCAGACGAGTTTGGCAAACGCCTTTTTCCAACAGACGCCTCCGAAATTCCCGAATTTTCCGCTAAAACCTCGTGATAAGGTACAGAGTCGATTTTTTGCTTAAAACTAACTGTATTTTAGCATGAATTCTATAAACGTTTTTAGTTTTGCGGAAGACGGATGGCCAATGTCGGCAGACGCTTTTAAAAACATTCGCTGCATCTTGCCTTGACGCGCAAGGCACCACGCGTTAGAACGAGATCGCGAATACTCATATCTCAATTGAGAATACCTTGTAAATATGTATACCAAGTGTTGAATGGTTTTTTCTAACAGGCCTATTATAGGTAAGTTATAATATTTTGTCGAAAAAATAATTTATGGACTAAATCTGACGAAATCTGAACACATCACCCACTGCACGTTGTTAAAAAAAGATAACTCGCATCTTAGAAATCTGTTCCATCATAACCAAAATAATATTAATCTCTTCAGCGCTGCTACAAACAAAGAAGGATTGTACAACTTATACACTGGTAAGTCAGCATCGGAAAGAACCACAAATTTTCTACTAAAGTTCGCTGCGAATGGAGAAAAACTGCGGAAAAAACTTATTGGCGAATGCTTGGAAACCCTATTGAGGTTAGAAGAAAAAATAAATAGACAAAAGGTTTCAACTTTTGCGTATGAAAATAAGAGCATGGTCAAAAATCAGACGGAACTGTAATAGAGGTCAAAATGGAAAGGGATTTGTTGGGAAGCATTCTAGTACTATCTATTAGTAGGGGAGCTAACACGAAATCCACTGAACGAGAATGATCAAAATTTTAACCGATGGTGTTCCATTTTGCCCTATCAGAGTATGCTAAAATCGATCGTCTGCCGCCTCAGGTCATACGACTTAAGGCGCTGCGGGTACTTCTTGTGCTACCAATTCTGAAAGGTTGTTTTTCGAGAAAATAAGTTATACACCAAATGAAAACGTTGATAATAGCTCTTAAAAAAATATTTAAAAAAATCGCGCACATTTGATAACTCCGTAAAAAAACAATTCTTAGTCGGTTTTTCACGAACTTTCTACGGATATAACTAGGTTACCGTTGGAAGAATGAAGCTGATTTTTTTTACAGACTAATGATAGGTACTACTAATGACTTAACGGTGTTTCGTTTTTAAATTTTTTCTCTAATTACAAGATTATCTTATTATCTTAACATTATAAGATATCTTATAATTGGAGAAAAAATTTAAAAAGAAACACTCTCATAGTCATTGGCTGTACCTATCATTAGTCTGTAGAAAAAATCAGCTTCATTCTTCCAACGGTAACCTAGTTATATCCGTAGAAAGTTCGTGAAAAACCGACTAAGAATTGTTTTTTTACGGAGTTATCAAATGTCCGCGATTTTTTTAAATATTTTTTTAAGAGCTATTATCAACGTTTTCATTTGGTGTATAACTTATTTTCTCGAAAAACAACCTTTCAGAATTGGTAGCACAAGAAGTACCCGCAGCGCCTTAAGGCTGGTCGTCCACTGGAAGCGAAAACAAGCGGCTTAGGGTACGTTCACTACGGAGCTGTGATACGAGATTGTAGCATAGATGATAGATGAAAGCGTCGAGTATAAGCGCTGATGGGGTGTGCACAACAACGCTGAAATACCCATCAGTCGGTTGCAAAATGTCATATAAAGAAGACGATTATTTCTGTTCGGTGGCCTCAAAATGGTACATTTTACGGAGACATAAGGTTATTTCTAGAGAATATCATGTATGTACATCCAATAAATGCAAAGCGTTCTACATTAGGTGAATATCACCACCTATATGCAGAGTTGCGCCAATATCCTGACCGTTTTTTTGAATATTTACGAATGTAAACACTTCTTTTATTAATATTTCACAATCCATAGTGAGGTTATGAGCACTTGACACGTATTTACGCGATTTCAGCGCGCAGAAGAATGGTACGATCCATTCCTTAAAATACAAGCGAGTATAACAGTGCGGATACTCGATTAACTCACACCTTCACTGTGCACGGGCTCATTTGATTATACCGTATTCATTCTACAAGCGCTTATAAAGCACAGCTATGATCTCAGCTATCATCTAGTATCACAGCGCCGTAGTGCACGTACCCGAGTTTACGCGATACGAGCGTCAACAAGCGGCTATAAGATAAGCGATCTTGTGCGACAGGGGTCGTCCATTGCAAGCTGTTTCACTGACAGTAGTAGCGACGCGCGACGTTGAATAGTCATTGTTGCTTTTTGCGATTAAATATTGAAATGGATGCAGAGTAGAAGACGGGTATTTTTAGAAACTCCTTACAGAAGGCGGAAAAAAGTTCAAAAAAGAAGATTGTATTGGGTAAACCCTATACTGGAAAAGAGGGCGTGTCTCGGCGAATTCAATCATCTCCATCGCGAATAAAAAAAGGACCCTCCGAAGTTTTTTTATTACTACCGAATGGGTCCGCAGACCTATTTATAAATCTTGAATTCTATAAAAACAATTATCAGGAAAGAGTCTAACTTCAGAGAAACTATATCACCTGAAGAACGCCTCAGTGTAGCACTACGGTAAGAAAAATTCATTTTCATTATATACTAGTATCATCATTAGGAATTTTATTATTGCAACGTAACAAAAGGGTGCTTTAGTATATCATCATGACGGTTTGAATCATCGGGCTGACTCTTTCCAGGATTATTCACATTTTGCAAAGTCAACAAAGATGGTGGTTGTTGGGGCAGGCTGTTCCGGCGGAACGATAGTGGAGTAGTGTCTAATGTCTCTTGCATGAGTAGGATGTTCCATCAGAATAAGGTCTAGTTCTCTGACCTGACATCCAAGACGAATGAGATGACGGGTAGGCGTCGTTAGATGGGGATGGATAGGAAACAGATGTATGCTGGATGGAACCATGACGTTCTTCTTCGCTATACTCTCAGAAAACAACTGCACTTTTTCTCTTTCTATTTCCAAGAATTCTTCATCAGGCCCCATTTCGACCGGTACAACAGGTGCAGTGTTCGAATATGTTTTATCAGCGTCCTTGCTCTTCCCCTGATTTGTTTTTGAGGCATCACCATGATTCATTGCATTGTTCACCTTCTTATCAGAAGATTTCTTCGTTTCAATTCCTTTTTTGGTACTTTCTTTTTCAGCAGATATTTTTTGCAGACAGATGCGTCAAGCGGCTACGAGCGTAAATCCCATTCTGCTCAGAAATGTAGCGCGCGCACGATTACGCTCATAGCCGCCCGCTCAAACTTGCTTTCAGTGGACGAGGTTACATTAAAATACAATATTAAGGATCTGCCGCGCGTAGTCGCGTGTTGACGCCCGTGTCGCGTAAGCTCGACGCCGCTTGTTTTCGCTTCCAGTGGACGACCAGCCTAAGTCGTATGACCTGAGGCGGCAGACGATCGATTTTAGCATACTCTGATAGGGCAAAATGGAACTCCATCGGTTAAAATTTTGATCATTCTCGTTCAGTGGATTTCGTGCTAGCTCCCCTACTATATGGAGAATAAGCTAAATATCATGAATAGGTATCTTATCTTTCCCACTAACGCCGTTGCCATAAATACCATATCGATGGCACTATGAATAAAGCGGAAAAAGCTAGTCTTCTGAAAGCTCTAAAAAAAAAGGGCAGGTAATATTGCACCCGAAAACCCTCACTGCACCGTGATCGATGGGTTTTTCTTACTACACTTATTGGGGGAAGCACCAACAACTTTAGGGAAATTGGCTCAGTATGTTTTAAGCACGACTTACAGGCACAAGGGAAGCAGAATAGATCTTGTTTTTGACAAATTCAAAGATGCTGAACGTGAAAAACGTGCTCAGATATGGGGCCGAACTTTCGATTTTGTTATTTTCGGGCCAGAACGAAAAGGGAAAAAAGGCTTGTTAAAAGCATTAAGGAATGACCACATATGGAAAGATGATTTCATCAAACATCATGTACGGGTATGTTTGGTTGGAAGTCGGCACTCTATTGAAAAATAATCTTACACACATCTTAATTTATAAGTTCGTGTTCGGATATAACAGAACAAATTTTAGGTGTAGATAATTTTTGTGTCAATTGTACGGTCGGAAAGATTTTACAAACTTAAAAATGAAGCTCGATTTGATATATTTTTATCATCGTATGAACCAAACAGTTCGAGAAACCCTTTGGACTTTCTTAAAAACTTTGATGGTTGTTTAATGCCTCCTTGTAGAGGTGTACTATGGTGTAAAATTAAGAGAGTCAATCAAATTTCTGGTATTTGACTGAATGCAACTGAAAGGTACCCTGCGTTTTACGATCGTACCAAACACGGATAGGTATTGGTTAAAGAAAAACTCAAAATTCAGTGGTTTCAAGGTCCGCAGACCGCAGACAAGTTATTTTTGATTTTTTATAAGGATATTTTTTTATATGTTGATATTTATATCGTTTGTAAGTTCGGGAGTTATCTTGTTAACAGATGGACGGACGGATTTTTTTTCCAACATTTTCGATTTTTTGCTTCTTGCGGCAGCTACCTCGATGGACGCCGTGTAATTTTTTCAACCCTAACCCCGAGCTAACCCCCCTTGCCGGCGTCGCGACCTCCTTTACTCGGTCTCACTAGCTGTTTACCCCGAAACCTTGTTTTCGCCTTATTTCAAACATATTTTCATTCACGTTCGCTATGAAGCGCCATATGTGTAAATTTTCCTATGTTGAGCAAAAATTCAAATTTGATAATAAAACTGTTAAAAACGGCTAAGTTACCATCTGTTACTGGACCATCCCGACACCGAAAAAGTATTTAGAACCATGCAGGAGTTCCACGAGGACGGAAAGTTTTGCCCTCCCGCTCGTAGTATTGCCACTACCAACAGTGAACTCCCCTTTATTTTAAAACCATTTTCGCCTTACTATGTTCATCCGACCCGAAGCAGACCATTTATCATGTAAGGGTATTCTTTTTCAATGACGCTGTATTGTAATGCGCTTGTCATCCGTTAGGTAATTTCTGTATCTTCATAAGTTCCAATCTGCTATTGTTTCGTTCTCATTCATCTCCCTGCATCAGATATACTTAGATTTGACCCATCGACGTATGTCGTAAAAAATGTTACTGTTTAAGTGTTTACCTACTGCGTCTCTAATTACAGCCGTACACATACTACAAGTTGCTGGAAAAGCAGTTCGCAACTTAGTCTGCTGTGCAAATTCTATTACCGGTCCAAATAACCTCAAACCATAACTCATAATGCTTGTTTGTTACAGGGTGAACCTCGACAAAGAGGATTGAAGGACACTTTTCTCGCTAAACTTGGGTTTGGGAATAGTAACTATCCCCCACCGAGGCATGATACGCCGGCATCCCCTTGTACTTGCTGTAAGTATTATCATAGAGTAAAGAATATACTCAATACTATTATACAATATTGTAAGGATAGGGGAGTTGGTATTTTAAACAAGGGAAGTAGTTAATTAAATGGGGACTAATAATTGGCTAGAACTAATTATTAAAATGCGACAAATCTACTGTAAACTTACCTTTTATTAGAAACGTCTCTCTCTAATCTACGCAAAAGCAATGGCATGGCAAGATTCGCTCTGACTGGTCGTCTTTCGCGCCCGGCTGGCGATTGGGGTTGAATCCGTCGTTGGAGACGACATCTCGAAGGGTCATACTTATTTAAGAAAGGATTACGCCGCGCAGACATATGTTACTTAGGATACACATCCCGCCTTGGTTCTCTGACCAGGACCCTCGGCCAATAGATCAGTAACGTCGATCTATATCTCTCATTGCCCTCCATGCGAACACATCTCCAAGTCAAGCTAACCCCCGAACTCTTTTTGTTAGCAATGAGACCTTTATTTTTCGTATTGGGTCGAAATAATATTTGTTTCATTACTAGCCTATGATGACTTTTTTTCACTACTAGCGTCTGATGACATGATTATTAACCTTTTTTCCACTTGTAAAGTAGGCTTTCTCGACATTTGTTCAAAGTGGTTAATAATGTCGACATTATTAACTAGTAGTCAATAATGAGAACTGTCACGCTGTCACTTTTAGAAAACACAACCCGAAATTTCGCTCAATAAACGTTTGGACAAGTTCTAATTGCCACCATCCGCCATTTCCAGAGAAATTACATACCTAAAATGATCACATTTTGTAAAAATTCGAACGAAATTACTCTTTGAAAATATCTCAATGACAGAACAAGATACGGCCTGTTTGACTTGTACTTCTACGTACTTGATTGACATGTTAAATTAAGAAACAAACAATTCTGTCCAACCGTTAACTCTCTTATCAATATAATATGTTAATTTAGAGGATTTCAAGTGCTAGTAGTGAAAAAAATAGTATATACCATGGTAGAGAAGTCTATTATTGCCTTCGCACCTTACACCCCTCGGCGCTGAGGCAATAACACTGTACTTCTCTACCTTGATATATAATGTACTATTATTAACCTTTTTTCATTTCTAAAGTTGAATTTCTTGGCAGCATTTGAAAGTGCTTCATAATGACATTATTATTCACTAGTAGGGAATAATGACAACACTTGACTACTTCACTTTTACTTCCACGTACTTGATTGACAGTAAAATTAATTAAAAAAATTCTGTCAAACCTTCTTAACAATTTCAAGTAATAGTAATGAAAAAAATAATATATATCCCACTGTAGAGAAGTCTATTATTACCTTCGCACCTTACATCGCAAGCGGCTCGAGATACTTGGTGCTCAGGTCATAATACTAAACTTCTCTACCTTGGTATACTATTATTTGATGTCAAACACTTTTCTAAAGCCACATTGCTATCAATTACTGCACTTTTCCTTAATTTATTCATTTGTTATTTAATTGCACCCCTTTTCTATTTGCTGATTTTTGGAGAGATAATGCATTGCATGCTCTCTGTTGAGAAACGTTTTTTTGTTGTACAAGATAGTGTTCTAGGCTTGTAATATCCACAGCGTCACTCTACTAATTATCTATTCCATCGCTGACTAATAAGGTTGACTAGATTTTTATGACGATATATGTTTCAACCCTAGACGATAAAAAATATAAATAATAATTAATTAATGTGAAGCAAATCGACGACTACCGCCCCTTTCAGTTTTGGACAAAAAAGTATCTATCCACGAATTAACGGCCAAGGGAACTTCCTATTATTCGTCGTCCTCAACTCTGACAAGCGTTTCTATAAAGTAAATCACCAAAATCCTTTGTTTCACTTCGTTTATCATTCATAATAAATATACAAATCTACTCAGGGAATAAACTCCCGTGGGTCCACCTCTTCAGAAATGTTACATTGACTTTAAGTACTTTTATTTAAAATCACAAGACGATCTAGTCCTATTTTTACACATTTTCAATGACCTGATCCATTGGACTTTCTGTCGCATAAAAAATCTACAACTTGTATTTGTACAAAAAACCTTCCAACCGTAAAAAATAATATAAACAAATAGGGAAATCTTACGATGGAATAATCAAACAAGTTATAAAAGTAATCGTAAACGATTTACAAAAAGGGCATTTATACTTGCATTCATTTCACATTTGTAAGATACGTCGTGCCCTTATACTCGTTGCGCGTGCTTTAAAGACTTGATTATACACTTGTATCTTAATATACTATATTTGATTTGGCATCCATTTTACTTTTATTCGAGGTACCTACATACAAAATTTCATTTGAATACTTATCTTAACAAATAGGAAAATTGGATTGCGCAAATACAAAAGTTATCATGCACTTGCACCCGGACAGACAGACGAAGACAGACAGACGGGCAGACAGCGATTCAACATAATAAACGATCTCGAGGATCGTCAATAAACGGCAAAAGTGTAAAATTATGGTACATTAAAAAAATAGATTTTTTGCCACTTTTTTCTTAAACGGCACAGAAAAAATTCCTTTCTTGGTGCCAGCCTCGACACCATAATGAACCAAATAGCAAATTGCACTTAGGTTTTGCTATTTCTTGTCTATATGAGTACACATATTATATTGCCTGGTAAAAGCTTCTTACCTATAAGTTGCTTTTCGAAATATACATGCAAAAGGAGAAACGCAGTGTGCAATCGAAATAAATCCAATACCTGGTTTTTCGTTGAAGATGGTAATAAAATATGCTAATAATATTTGTTTACGGTTCAAATGGGCAAACAGCAAGGTCGTATGATTCATGCAATAGTGATTTTAATTTAGGCAGTACCTACATCGCCAAACAGGATTTTTTGTTAAATTAGACGATTTATTTACAGCTTGTGGTGTCAGGAACGATGCTACCAGAATCGTTGGTGGTCAAACAACTGCACAAAATGAATTTCCATGGATGTGTAGGTTGTCATATTTCAATAGGTTTTATTGCGGTGGAATGTTAATTAACGACCGCTACGTCTTGACCGCAGCTCACTGTGTTAAGGGGTATTGAACGATCATCTCCAATATTTACTTACATTGATGGTGTTTTCAGATTTATGTGGTTTATGATTAAGGTCACGTTTGGAGAACACGATCGATGTGATGATAAAAAACGACCGGAGTCGAGATACGTAATTCGTGCAATCACAGGAGCGTTTAGCTTTTTGCATTTTGACAACGACATTGCACTACTTAGATTGAACGACAGGGTACCGATAACAGATGCTATTAGTCCAGTGTGCCTTCCCAAGGATACAGGTATGTCTGTTAGGAAGACAAAGGATATCTTTGGTAGCCAATTTTAGATGATTTGTATGTGGGAAGAAAAGGAATTGCGGCCGGTTGGGGTACACTTCAAGAAGAGGGTAAACCGTCATGTCTTCTGCAAGAGGTTGAAGTGCCCATTATTAGTAATGAAGAATGTAGAGCGACTAATTACTCCGAAAAGATGATATCTGATAATATGATGTGTGCCGGATATCCAGCAACTGGAGGAAAAGATTCCTGCCAAGTATACATATTTTACACAGTCATTTGCTCTACTTACTGGTTTAACTTTTAGGGCGACAGTGGCGGTCCCTTTATAATAGAAAGGCCGGATAAGCGATATTCATTAATTGGTAAGTGTAAATAGATCATATACCATACAGCGAATTTTTCTACAATGCATATGTCGTAGTCTTTTAGTAAAATCCGTCCGTTTTCAGGAAAAGCCTATAGTCATTTAGTGAAACGCGGACAATTTGACGTGTGGGGTAGTTTCCCTTTCTCTTCTAGATCGATAAGAGATATAATTTATCGATCTCGAAGGGGAATGAAACCTAATCGCTTAGCCCTAGAAAGTACTGTGTGCCACTAATAAACTAGGGGTATGTACAGTGCGTAAATTTTATTTCCGAACATACAAATCTCCTAGGTTCAATTCTTAAATATAGCAAAGGCACAGATTAACCACAGTAATCTGTGCCAAAGGGTACGGGTACTCTTAGAAATCAATGCATTGATATGCCTGATAGTTATGCAACCCACCTTACATTCAAATGAGACCGTAGTGTAAGAAAAGAAACTTTGGCGTTATTTTAGGTACGTTATTTATTAATCAGTGTTTCTCAACAGGGGCCATATGGCCCCCTATGACGTATTTCTTGGGTGCCACGAACGAAAAGCAGAATATTAGTAGGCCACGGAAACCTTTCAGTGGGCCACGAAAATTCGCTTCTACAATATCTTACTGAAATATTTAAATTAAATTAACTTACCAAAAATGGTCAGTACAAAAATTATACCACACTAACCCCTTATCATTGTTTGTGTTATCTCAGTGTACGTACCTTTCCTAGAAAGCAATAAATCCTAATCACAACTTTAAATTTAAATGTTTATAAATGGCAAACGCACAATGCAATTGATAAACGCGATACCGGAAAATGTTTGTTATTTTTGTGTGTAAAGATTAGTTTTTCTCTAACTTTCAGACGCATTTTTTAAAAAAATTCAGCGTCAAAACAAAATGAGCTTGAAAATGGTTTCTTGATAAGTACAAAATAACTCAAATTAGTTTTGATCTAATTCTAAAGTGGTTACAATAGTGAAATGCCACATTTAATGGCCTATATTCTATACATTTTTGTGGAGTCTGCGAAAGACGTAAATGAGTCTAAAAACGCGTATAAAGCTACTAAAAGTTCAAAAAATTTCCCGGGGTCCATACCCCCCAGACTTCTTCGGTCTAACACGGCGAGAGGGGGGAGGGCACAGAGATAAATAACATACAGGTAGGCCCCCAGTGAAAAAAGGTTGAGAAACACTTCACATTCGACTTAGTATTATCTGTCTTTAAAGATAACAAAGTAATTAAAAGTAGCATCAACGCATTAACCAACTTTTGCTAAAGTCTGCATTCAAAATAACATACTACACTTCAAATTTTTTGTAGGTGTGGTGTCGTGGGGTAATGGATGTGCTCGACCAGGTTATCCAGGTGTATACACTCGAGTGACGAGATATTTAGATTGGATTTTGCATAACGCCGCGGATGGTTGTTTCTGTGAGGATTGATTGTTTGGTTTACATTTTACTCTGCTTTGATGTATCTCATAGTCACTGAATGGAAATGTGTTTTACTGATAGTAACTATACTAGTATATAATCGTATGTCTTCTGTTAAGCGTATTTATTGATGTTTACCTTTAAACTTATATTAGTCATTTAATTTCTTTAATTGTGGACTTGTAATATTTATGTGACTATAATAATTGGATCAAGATATTCTGAAAGCACTGTTTCAACTGGTTGGTAATTCTATGGTTTCAACCATTTCTTCGTCAAGAAAAGAAGGACAACTAATAGATGTTTCATCAACTACGTCACTAAAAAATGGATTTCAAGTTTCTGTACTATACTTTAAACCAATTCTGGTTTCTTTGTAAAACAGGATCTAAATCTAAATAAACCTTAACTAAAAAAAAGAACGGACACACAGGGTACGGTCTATACCAAAACGGCCGAAGACTTGGTTTTTGGCCACTATTAGTCACAATAGTCACCTTTGGTCTTTTATCGCCATTATAATCATAACATACAACATTGACTTTTAATTACAACCAACAAAGTACTTTGAATAACAAAGTGAATAAAATATAAGTGAAAATAGTGAATACAAAATTAAAATTCTAAAAACAGATCCTGCTCTGTAGATTATTTTTTCTATTTTCATAAACAAGGTTACGCGCATTCGGAATCCCCCAAGAGTAGGTATTCGAAGATGCGCTCACCCGGCATTAGAGCGTAAGTATGACAAAATCAGGTATAGACCCACCGCAATTTTTTTAGGCTCACGTGCATGTCTGAAGCCGTTTATTGAACATTATTAGTGAAGTAATGTTCTATTGAAATGCGTCTGCCCTTGTAAATTATTAAAAATAATATTGCATTGTTTTTGGTTGTAGGTCCAAGGTTTGCGGCCCAAAACCATATTTTTTGTTGTACAGCAAATTGATTGCTCTTGGCAAATATCTTATACAACTATAAATTGATAAAGCGCATTTTTTTTTACCGAAATAGCTTTTGTTTTGACAGCACCAATGGATATATTTCTTGCAGACGTCTCAATCGCCCTTTGTGTGTACCCTCTTCCGACAATCCGTTCTTGAGGTATAAGGGAATATACCCAATCACGATAAGAGGAGGAGGGCTATGGTTGGTAGAAATTAATTCCTTTCGTCGAGACCTTTCATTAGAGTACCATGAAGGATAAAACTAGAACAGTAATTCATAAAAAACATAGGCATTGCGTTTGAAAAACAAAAGTGGCACCATTTTCCGATTAAACCGGAAATGATATCAGAAGTTTCAATATGTGCTGATCGTATAGAACGTAATGTCACATAAATCTCGCCAAATGAAAAAGATATTGAGGTGACCCTCTTATCTCGAATGCACTTTTTAGGTACGCATCGACCTCGTATAATAAAGTTGCGGAAATCGGTGTCACCCGTGTGTCCGGGGTGGAGATTAGATTCAGTTACCTACGTGATTAAAAGCGCGAATTCAGCACTAGGTCATCTCCTATCGGGGTATGTGTAAAATTCAGCGAGTGATACTATACATTTCAGGAATAGCGTAGGCGGTACAACTGAATATCGAGGTAAACGCTGCACTTTGTGACAAAAGCATGAAACTCGGTACACATGTTTATTAGGTCCAAATAAAACTTTTGACCCACAGCACCCACCGAAATTTTCGTGTGGGTTCAAAATTTGAACACTTTTGTTCAAAAGGGTGTTCAAGATTTTAAACCTGTAAAAATTCACGAATTTCGGCATTCTAGGGGTTGTTTTTGAATGAATTATGGTCGCTGGTGCTAATGGCGGCATTAAAAAAGTTGTATATCTGACCCTTAGGCCCCAAATTTGGAGTATTTTCAAAATAATGGTTAAATTTTGAATTTGATAGTTTTAACCCTGCGTGATGTTTCGGATGTCGATTGCAGCTAATTTTGACGTGCACTACATGCTAGAAATGTTATATTGACGTTAAAACAGTTTCTGGTGTGTAAATAGGCCGTTAATCGTTCAATAAATTGTTCAAAATTTGGAAATTCTATACTTGAAGGATTTTGCCGTTCTTGGTGTCGTTTCCATATAATTTGTGGTTGCTGATGCTGATTTTGTATTCAGAAAACAGATGCGATTCATAGTTAGGCCCTTTTCATACTATTTTACCTATTAAGAGAGAATGTTCGGTGCAGTCATACCTTTGTTGTCCCGGATTGCAACAACTACCTATTGCGTGACAATGAAAGACGAAAGAGACGAGCATTTCATTAAGATTCGGAAGTGGACATGTTCTCTGACGGGGTATGCCGCCTATGCTTCCATTATTGCCCTCGCGTCATCGCTTGTTGGGAAATATCTGTACTTCCAATCAGTCTTGAGCTCACTCCAGGACAAATAACATCTTGCAGCGAGCCCCTGGAAATGAGGATATTGCAACGATACCGTGAAACGCGATCGATCGCGACCAGGATCGCGACGCAGTGCCTGGGCGTGCCCTGAAGTCGCCGAAGCAGCCTCCAAAGTACATCAGACGGCGGGCGATACGATTAGGCCGCGAGTCACAGGCGTTTTAGGCCCTGCGCGTCGCTGTAGGAAATCTGCGCGCATACTGAGAGACCGTTACCACCATGACCTGACCAGCCGGAAGCTGGTTCTGGTTCCCTAGAGGCCGGTTATCTGGTACAACAACTCAACGAAGGGAAGAGGATAAAAGCTGCTTTCATTCATATCAAAACAAAGTGGCACAAAGCCTGTGCATCGAAGTTCCAAGGGGCTAAATTGGATCAACTTTTACTAAAAGTTCAGTCTTCTACCAGTGCTATTGATGTACCTGAAGAGGCACTCGAAGACTGGCGGTCAGAACCAGCTTCTGGCTGGTCAGGTCATGGTGGTAACGGTCTCTTAATATGCGCTTAGAGTTCCTACAGCGACGCACAGGGCCTAAAACGCCTGTGACTCGCGGCCTAATCGTATCGCCCGCCGTCTGATGGACTTTGGGGGCTGCCTCGGCGACTTCTGGGAACACCTAGGCACTGCGTCGCGATCGATGGCGTTTCACGGTATCGTTGCGATATCTTCACTTCAAAGTAAGGGCGTCGCCAGAGGGGGCAGGGAAGGGAAGCTGCCCCCGTCTAGAGATTAAAAAAAGTAGCAAAATGCAAACCAACCAAAGTGTCTTGGTTTTCTTGACCGATAATTCCTTATTACAATTATTGTGGTTGTAGAGGTAAGACAGTAAAACAGTAAAAGTTTATGTGCTCTGCACTATACCTACAGTTTTTTATCCTTCATATGTCAACTTGCCTATCTCTGGGCCATCAGCTGGCGACTCTTGCTTCAAGGGGCACAAGTCGGACGGAACTTGCTCGCTGCGTGATGTTACTTGTCGTGGAGTGAGCTCAAGACTGACTGGAAGTACAGATTTCCCAACAAACGATGCCGGGAGGGCATTAATGGAAGCATAGGCGGCATATCCCGTCAGAGAACATGTCCACTTCCGAATCTTAATGAAATGCCCGTTTCTTTCGTCTTTCTTTGTCATTCAATAGTTGTTGCAATCCGGGGCAACAAGGGTATGACTGCGCCGAACATTCCTCTCTTAATAGGTAAAATAGTATGAAAAGGGCCTAACTATGAGTCGCATCTGTTTTCTGAATACAAAATCAGCATCAGCAACCACAAATTATATGGAAACGACACCAAGAACGGCAAAATCCTTCAAGTATGGAATTTCCAAATTTTGAATAAATTATTGAACGATTAACGGCCTATTTACACACCAGAAACTGTTTTAACTTCAATATAATATTTCTAGCTAGTAGTGCACGTCCAAATTAGCTGGAATCGACATCCGAAACATCACGCAGGGTTAAAACTATCAAATTCAAAATTTAACCATTATTTTGAAAATACTCCAAATTTGGGGCCTAAGGGTCAGATATGCAACTTTTTTAATGCCGCCATTGGCACCAGCGACCCTAAATCATTCAAAAACGACCCCTAGAATGCCGAAATTCGTCAATTTTTACAGGTTTAAAATCTTGAACACCCTTTTGAACAAAAGTGTTCAAATTTTGAACCCACACGAAAATTTCGGTGGGTGCTGCGGGTCAAAAGTTTTATTTGGACCTAATGAACACGTGTACCGAGTTTCATGCTTTTGTCACAAAATGCAGCGAAAAAATTTGTACCGCCTACGCTAGAAGGTATCGCAACTCTGATTGAGGCTTAACAAAAAATTGTTTTATTTAATTAATATAATCCATCTTGAAAAAGTTTATTAATTAATGAAGAAACAAAAAGTCAGAAAAGCTGTAATAGAGGCGAAAAGAAAAGCGTGGACGAATTCGGACGACGCATGGAAGAAAATTGCAAAGGCAACCAGAAATTATTCTACAAGACACTAAAAAACCTACGAGCTGAAAAGTTCTGCCTGATTAAACACATAAAAAGCGGAACAGGTATTAACATAGAAGATGAAAGCATCATGGAAAGATGGAAGCAGTACTTTCAAGACTTATTGAGCACCGAAACGGGGAACCAAAGTAGAGAACTTTAAAATACCGAGATGCAAAGAGGACGAATGAAGATATAAATACAAATACACTATGGAATCAAACCAGAAATGATCAAATGTCTGGGAGAAAATGGACTTAGGTGATTCCCGTGGTGGTTCCTAGCAATATGCAGGAAAGTCTGGAAAGAAGGGATATAGTATTCAAGAGGAAAGAAGGAATATAGTATTCAAGACCACATCTTCACACTTAACGAAGCATCACAGAAACAACGCAAAGTCTCTCCATAAAAATTTTTATTCCTTCCATCCTCTTTGTGTTTTTCATTTCCACCGAATCTGGATATTCATCAAAGATTACTACTGCATTGACACCATACGGATTTTGTACATAGGTACGTATTTCTGGAAGATTGCAGAAATATTCCCCATCAATTACATGTATTTTCCTGCTGCCCAGTAACCAGTTCCGTGTCATTTGGTAGAGGATTGAAAATGAATAAAAGATGGATTTTGTTACTTTACGCATGCCTTCCTCTGAGATATACATGGAACGAGAGAGAGTTTATACTGGAAATATTCCTGAAGTTCACTTTCAGACTTTTTGGCGATAGACATACAATTGAAGAGTACCAATAGATCTATTGCCACAGTCACACCGTGATTTGTGACTGGTCACTGCCGCAAAAGAAACCACTGCACTCTACGTTTTAAATGTAGGTTCATTTTACTTATTTTTGTAAACGGCATATCATGACTTTGCGACTTTATATCTCGATACCTACTAGAGATAAAAGAAAATTGTGAATACCAAATTTCATGCGTTACAGAATTCGTTAAAGCGAATTTAACGGAAATGTGCATTGAAAAGAGATGTGAAAAAAACTAGATCTTGCCGCTATTTTGGCTAGATTTTCAAGATGGCGGCGCGACCACAGCTTCGTCCGGGCCGCAGGATGGAAGCTGGCAGGTGGAAAATGGTGGAACAACCGACAGATAAATCGCACGGCTCTT